GCAGAAAGGAAGAAACCCTGCTTGAATTTAAGGAGGGGCAGTGATAAGTTCTTAAGGCTAAACTAACCCATGTCACTGTAGGACAGTTGGCACTTGCCCTACACACCCAAGGCAAATAAAAAACCACCTACCCTCTGTAAAACACACTGGTTTAGAAGCCACACAACGTCCACAGAGACCAGCACTGCTCTGAATGCATGAATTTCACAACTCACACGTCACAGTTTGTCTGAGCAGGGCACTCCGAGGGCCACAGGGTTCCAAGAGAGGAATATGAGTCACTGCTACTGTAAGGAGCCATCTCTTATTTTAATGCTCTTGTTTTCCGATGACATCTCTTCAATGGGTGTTGGTGATTCACTGACATGGAAATGCTCCTGTGACTCTTCTTCCCTCAAGAACTACCATCAGAACAAAGTAGTCTGAAATCCAGCTGTGATGTACTACAAAATCTAGCAGTTGAGTTAAAGACCAAAAAAACAGAACATTCTTGATGGCTCCTTCTAACAATAAACATTGCTGAATATTCCAGTTAAAACGATCAAGATGTTTAGGGACTGCTTTAACATTTTTAGTAAGAAGTTTATAAACCATATTTCAAAAGCTGAGGAAAAGAAGAAACAAAAATAAGAGATAATGATTAAATAACAAGTTTGTGGCAGTATCTGGATGTTTGGTATTTTGCCTCCATTCATAACTGAAATCATATTTGACTGTGTTGCAGGTGCCAGGCTGTACCACCCCTCTAACCTACCAGTCCTATTGCTCTTCACACCTTCAGGGTGAGGTCTGCTCTTCTCTTGAAGCCTGTGGGCTCCTCTCACTAGCATTAATGGCAGGCAGGCATGCACACCAGTGGGAAAATTAAAAGGATGTTAACCTGTTACTGAGAATTCAGCTTCAGAAGGAAGTCAGTCTGCCTTACAACCAAGTGACAAGTCAGAATTTTAAGACTACTATAAACAGGACAAGTGTTTTTCCACCAGAAAAGTGTCATAAATGGAGGGCTCAATACAACTCTGAGTTCAGTGAAAGGGCATTCTGTTGTTAGTTTCAAGCTGGAACAGCTCAGGCCAGAAGACCTGCCCTCAAACCTCATTCCCTGACCTTATCCCAGACTTTTTGTTAGAATTGGGATGTGTAAGAGTGATCTGTATTCAATTTCTACATGAAAATGTCTCCCTCAAAGAAGTTTTCTTCTTCTCATTTGCTATATTAAAACTGATGGTTTGCATTTTAGAAATCTTTGGGAGTTGGAGAGGTGACAGAAATTTTGCACCAGTACCTTAAAGTACAGTATCCCTTACGTCTAAGGTCCAGTGACTGCCACAGGCAGCTTTTCAGGGACATGGGGAGTTTGCAGGAGTGAGCCATTGGGGAGAAAAGAGAATACATCAAGAACATTGTAAACACAAATTTTAGACAACAAAAGAATTTCTCCAAAGGTGTGAAAATGGGAAGGTACTGATGCTGAAACTGCAGCTGCCACCAAAAGTCTATGAAAAATTTACAAGTAAAAGAATTTCCAATAGTAAATGCCATAAAATCTTGTTTTCAGCTCAACTATTTTCTAAATTGATAATAATGTTTAGCTTCCAAAGCACAAATGTTCATTCCAAGGGCTAACCAAATTTCCAAATCTAATTATTAATGAGTTTAGTGGACTTCCATTTCATTTAGAAATGGTCATATTTCTCCCATAGTAGAGCTTACACCTTGCCTTGCTTCTGCCTTTGCAGTCAGACCTCACTGTGCAGCTATAGGGTGGACATCTCACATCCTGAGCATGAGGCAGCAGCACAGGGACCAAGCTTTGCATCTTCCCAGTGCTCCCCTGGTGTCCTGTGCCCCCTGGCTGAGCAGGAGCAGCAGGATGGCTCTGCTGCCCTTCTGCTCCACAGGATGGGAGACAGCGATGTCCTGCAGGTGCTGCACAACCTCTCCTCCTTCGGTGCATTGATTCCCTGCTTGCCTCTCCTGCCCTTCACAGCCTTGCCCTTAACAGAAAGGAACTGACCAACTTTTTCACATTTATAACACTTTAGGACGACCTGTGTGAAATGTTCTAAGCACTAAACCAAACAGATCATATACAGAAAGGATGCAATACTTCCAAGAAGAGAACCTGCACAAACGTCACTGTTCTACAATTATTTAAGGCTATACTGACAGGAAACAGATTCAATTCAAGATCTGCAATTTCTACATGGTTTGCCGGCACACAGAAAAGTAACTAATTTGATACATTTTTTTCAAGTACTTACTGTACTTTTGAACAAAGGCAAACAACAAAAAGCTATGAAAAAAACACAGCCAACTCTGGGGAAAATATAAGTGCCTCAAATTTGTTGCTGATACTTTGTTCTTCAGCAATTCTGTTCCATGCTTAAGACCTAACTGAATGCACAAAACCACACTGTGTGTGCAAGCCCTTATGTAGGGTTTAAAAAACCCACAACAGATGAAGGCAGATTTCAAATACAAAGGTGTAGGTTTGCATAAGCAATGAAAAACAAAATTACAAACAAAACAAATAATAAGAATAGGTTCTAGGAAGAAAAAACCAACATGACAGCTATTGGTACTACAATTAACTCACAAATATCCCAAGGTGAATCCAACTATTGGTGTGACTGCTTTTGCACAGCAAATCCACGTTCTACTGTGTCAAAATGAAACATTCATTTCCATTCTTTAAACATTCAGTTTCTAGCCTCTGTACAGTATAAATCCAAGTAAACCAATCCTTCTTCTGTGAAGCACAGACTGGTCCTGAATACTTTAGGAAAAGTCCTAGAGAGAGATTCCTCTTCCCAAATGAGCCCAACACAGAGTACCATAAATCTCTGTTGTGTCTAAATTAAGATTTCAGTGCCTTGGAAATCTAAATGGTGAAATGCAAAGCTGAAGCAATGCAACCTACAAACAGAAACTCACATCACAACACTGTTTCGTTTAGTTTGGTTCTGTAAGAGGTTATTTGCTGCACCTTCCAAACTGACTTCTTCATTTGTTCAGTGATGATCTTAAGTATGTTCTCCACTGGAATTACCTGACCCAGTTCTTGCTGTTCAGTATTGTACATTATTTTAAATAACAAAACCTGTACAAAGAGACAACCATCAAGAGACAATTTTCAGTTTTAGGAAAGAGCATCTGAATATCCACAAACAGAATAGATAAAACCACCTCCACATGCAATGAAAAACTGCTTCACAACAGCTTCTATGTCATTGCTTCTATTATATGAAAGGCTGAAAAGATTGTGAAAATCTGAGCATTTTTCTTATGCATATTAGATGAATGCTGATTTTGTATTAAATTCTACACTCAACATTACATGTCTCAAACTGGACTAACAAAAGTGACTGAGAGAGACAACCTGCATTGTATAACTGCAAGACCATTCCTGTTTAAAGAAAGTTTTTGCATTATTTGTATTTAGTAAATAAAGCTTCTGTAAATGAAGCAGCAGTGCAATATCAGGAGGAAAAAACCCAAACCCCAAAGGTCTGTAATAATGTTTAAGTCTTTAAATCAATAAAAACTGAAAGCCTGGCTCTGCAAATAAATCAGTCTAATGACACCAAATAAACCAAGATGTGGAATTACAAAATCCTTTAAAAAGGACTTAATGAAATTGTTAAATAGTGTGAGAATTTGAGAACCATGTGAAATATCTTTATTACAGCATACTCACCATCCCCAGTCCCACTGTACTTGACTGTCTGTATACCCCAAAGCCAGGATTGTTCAAAGGTATTATAAAGGAATTCAAGAGGAACACATCTGTCTTAATGAGAACACTTGAGACTAACACTAATTGTCTCAACAAAATCCAACACTTTACTCTTCTACCCGCCAAGTGCTACAATGGTCAGTGAGGTCTCATATTAGTAAGACATTACCATCATTCATAATAAAAAAAAATTGCTTGTTTTCTTTACAGGAACAATTAAACCTAAACAAAACTTGTCATCACAAGCAAAAAGAATATTTAAATTGGGAAGCTTTTTTAAAATACATCTACTCAGTAACTTATAATTTTAGTAATATGAATTGGATTCAGCAGTCAATAAATTGGTGTGAGTCCAGCTAAAAGCTTCGGGACAAATAGGAACCTCAGAAGCACTGATATTTCCCCAATTTTGGTGGATGCCAGGAGTGTTTATCTGGTGATACTGCAGCTTCTCAACTGCATCATTAATAAGCTGTGTTTCCCAACCTGAACATAAGCAAAGCAAACTTCTATTTTGTGTGTGAACATTCGTTCAATTGCTGGCAAATCACTAGAAAAATAACTTACTGATGTTCTCTTCTTCAAGAAGAAAGGTAAAAACCCCTGGTCTGCTCTCTACTTCCAACAAACAGCATATGGTAATGCCTAAAACAGCTCACAAGAGACCCGGATGGATACCTGTTTCAAGCAAAGCCATAGAGTATTTTGCATTCATCCAGAGTAGTTCAACTGCCACTACTTCCTTCACAGTCCTTCAACCTAACTTCCAACTGCTGACATTTTAAAGAAACCTGTATCAATTTGTTTAATGAAAATATATTTTAGTAAAGTCGTGCTCTATGAGCTTCCTACATTGGAATACATGAGTAGAGGAAGTGCTTTCAACAGAAAGTTACATAGTTTTACAGTACAACCTGTCTAAGGAGTTTTGGAAGGGACCAAACGAATGGTCTGGTCTCTTTGGATTAGGCAGAAGTACAGGCAAGAGGGAAAAACCCAATTTTTGCCATATATAGAGCTTGTTCCTGTCACAGATTGAAGAAACATTAGTTTGATGTCAAAGTTCACCTGATGCCCAAATGCCAGTATTTTTCAAACCAACTGCATATCAAAAAATGAAAACTTACTTTACCAAGCTCCTGGAAAGAAACTCAGTGCAAAAAACCAGTATATTTCTATTTGCTGTATTATTAAGTGTTCTTTCACAAGTGGTTTTTCTTTTTTTGCTTTTGCTTTACAGACCACTAAATTTTTCTGAAAGTGCAAACTATTGACCTTTAATCTGAATGCAGGCAGGTCAGAAGCTACAGTATTAAAGCAATACAAAAGGTACACAAGGAGGAGCTTACATTAATTTGGAGAACCTCGCACAAAATGTTTCTGAATTGAAAACCACAAAACAAACCCAAACAAATACAGCATCAGGTGGATGGGGAAGGGACCGCTATCGTATCTGTGTACAGCAAGGATCCTCTGACACCAAGGAAGTTCATGACACCAAGTGAAGATTCTGTATTAAATCCCACCATTTTGCAGGTTGTGCATCCTTTCCAATGGAATGTTGACCGCAATTTCCATTTTTTACTCCCCCAACGAATCTGCTGATTGCGACCAGGGACGATCGTCTTCCTGGGAGAACAAGCTCCCTTAGAACCACGGCTGCACCTTCTACCATCCATTAGGATTCCAGTAGAGTATGCCATCTACAGACTTGCTGTCCTTTAGATTCCTTCATTTCAGTCCAGTGGTTGAGTTCGTCTTCTCCTGAGCTGTTGAGACCTAAGGAAATCCAGCCTATCATCTCTTTCCGCTTCATGCTGCGCTTGTTGTACACGGAGAGAATGAGCGTCACGTCCGAGAGCTGGAACAGCGCCACCTGGAAAACGAACGTCTCCTTGTACACCGGGTTCGGCTGCCCTCGGCGGATGGAAGTCTTGCACTTGGACATCTCCTGCCCCATCGAGTTCAGCAGTGTTAACTTAACATATGTATCTACAAAAGAAGTCACATGGTGGGACATCAGATAGCTTGGAGCCAGAGATTTGGAGAATGAGGTGTCTACAGAGAACAAGGATATGCTATATACCGGGATGGCTGAACACATGGAGAGATGACAAGTAAACAAAATATTACAAACACACTAACAAATGAACTAGCTCCAGCACTGTGTACATGGGTTAAGTTAAAGGTATACCTCATAACCCTCTTCCCATTGACCGCCCCCCCCCCCTTGTTTAGTCTAAAAAAACTTAAATTGCATTAACACTTAGCAAGCTCCAACTAGCCACAACACTGTAAGCACACCACTGAAATTTCAAAGAATATGGATAAACAAAGTGGAATAAAGGTAATTAATGAAGAGGGGAAAAAAAATATGTCAAAATGCAGCAATGATATCAAAACAGCCAGGATAAAATGCTTAAGAATAATCTCTGCATGGATGTGGTTCTCATTTTGGGCTTTTCAGTTTTATTTATCTTGAAAACCAAAATGTAGCAAAGTGCATTCAAAGATGGCAGTTTACACAATACAAAAACCCATATTATTACCTAGATTCATGAAGGAATACATTTACTGCATGTTTTAAGAAAGGCAAGTTTTTGCATAATTCAAGATGATTGTTCAAAACGTAGCTTGTATGGTGCTTTTAAGCATACATTTAAAAAGCTGAGGCAAGTAATGCAGTAAGTGCACATTATGTGTTAGCATTTGGGTAAAAAACCTTATTTTTAAATATCTATTTTCATTGGACCAAAAGCACCAAACCATGCTCCTGCAGAAGGATGCACATTTCATGAAGTTAACTAATGATAGGAAATATAAAATTGTATAAAACAATCTCATATTTAATTTTTATTCCTATCTTTTCATATTAATGGATAATATCAATTAAAGGTTGGAGTTTATGCTAAAAAAACCACATTGAGTATTTTCATTTTGCAGGTACACTGAAACCCCAACATCCATAATCAGAGATAAATGCAACTTTTGCATTAAAGAGTGCCACAAAAAATAAACATATACTTTTATAAACTGGCATGGTAGGCAGCTGTGGATATTTTACTGCTGGCAGGTTTCTTTTGCATGAAAAAGACAACATCCAATTAGTTTCTACAGGAACTCACCTCGGATTATATAAACCTGTCCACCTATCAAGTGTTTTAGACAACAGAACAGTCCGTCTGACAACAGGGGGTGGAAAGCAGTAAAAGAAATAATGACCAGATGTCAATAGTTGGGTGAGAGAGGATCAAAGGTTAAAGTTTAAGAGGAAACACTATTCACTGGAGTGGAAGAACATGAAACCATAGCAGCATAGATCAGAAAAAGGACTGAACAAAAGGATTGTTAGGTAAAATTTAATGAAATGGAAATTTTGTGCAGTTTTTGTGTAATCTTTAACAAAAATTATATTGCTTATATAATGGGTTATCTTAGGACTAATAAACACTGGATTCTAAGCCACACTTACCATAGCAAGAATCCTGCAAATCATTAAGTTATAGCAGATTCGGTAAAAATCACTATATCCTTATCAAATCTTATGCTTTTTCATGCAAACTCCAGCATATTTAGAAAAACTGCACATTAAAGTAATTAAACTTCATATATTAAGCAACAAAATGAAAAATAATTGAACTGAAAACCAAGCTGGTTTTGCCCTTGGCTTTTCTAGTTACAGATACTTGTAATACTTCAGTTCTTGAGTAGTGATGAACTGGGGCACAAGAATGACTCTGATGTTATCTCTACAAAGAGCTGAGGGTCACTTATATCTCAAATTCAGCAATGGGTCTCTATTTAGGATGTAAAGACCTTGCTTATTAAAATCCACATATTAATGGATTTAATGTGTGTGTGCATGCATATACACACATGCATTTAATATGCAAAAGCTCATACCCTGTTTCAACTAAACCTCAAGAAAAACTGAGAAGCATCTTTTTCTCAGGCAAAATATCAACTGTCACACAGAGAAACAAAGAAGACACATCCACTGTTACTGCCTGCAGGATTTGGACCATTCGCCTGTACTCAACTGCTAAATGAGTTACTATGTAATATAAATATGCAGTAGAGGAGCATGTACTAGTAAGAAGTAGAAATTTAGTATTCAGTTCATATTTGCTGCAGAGGCACTTAACAAAAATTCTCAAGTTCCCAAACCCTAGACTACAGAAATGTGGGAAAGAGTAATTGCATCCATTTCTATCACAGTTCCTCAATGCATGAATGAAAACTAAACTGTGCATATACTTTGCAGCACTTCTCAGGATTCTGGACCACTGATAGTCCAAACAACAAATGTGAACAGGACATTTCTTCATTATCATCATCATCCCTATATGCCTTAGTTTTCATTTTGTGGAAATGATGGCACAGATTGAGGCTGGCAGATGTCCATGATGTATGGGATTAGCTTATGGCAGTGGCATGGACCTTGATCCAGGAGTTTAAAAGGTGCCACCACTCCTCGGGGCAGGGGAGGGGGACAGCATGAAACAGCCCAAAGGGGAAATCTGGATTCCAAAATATTCTGTGCATGGTTTTACCAGACCCAGAAAGTTCATTAGTTTCCAGCTTTCAAGAAACAACAGAACTCCAAACCCACATTTGCCCTAACAGAACTGGACCATTGTTATTATGAAATCCTTCCCCTATCCTTCACAGGGACAAAAGGCAGCATGAAAGCTCTTCCCTCCAAAAAGGTTAGACAGAACATGCTTTTACAGTGCCATGTTCTATGCTCCTTTCTTGCAATCTGAACCAGATTTTTGACCCCAGCGACACTCACAACTGTTAGCTACATAGCACGAGCCCACTGAGCACATTTTGGGAATTAACATACTGGAGAATGAGCCTCTCTGTTTTCAAAACAAGTACTAAACCCCTCCTACCTTGCATACTCTAAATATTAAATAAAAACTGGCTATATCTGAGATTCCAGAAAGATAAGCATCTGGTTTGGCTTTAAGGGAACAGGTGATCTCTCCCTTTAATTTCTTCCCACACTCCAGTGTCCTCTTTGGCTTTCCTCATCTGTTTCTACACTTTGTCTCCAAACAGGTGACTCTGGGGCAGCTGCCCAATTATATAAAAGTATTAGAGATTCATCTATTGCCTTCCTTCTCTGACCATGCTAGCAAAGTCTGGCTTTGCAGAGCAGAGTAAGGTGAGCCAACTATGAATAGAACAAACATGGGTCAAGAAAATGAGGAAGAGGAGAGAGCATCACTATCAGCTCTGACTTACTTCCTAAACTCTGAAGACAAAGTGAGATGTGCAAACCACTTACAAAATGTTGAATGTTGGCAGCCTAATACATAATCCAGTAGCAGATAATCTGCTAGTGCCATACTAATCTGGGGTTTAAAGCCACAAAGAGTAGCTAAAACCTGAGCCTCCTGACAAAATCAAAAGGAACAGGTAGGCATTTCTTAATAACATTTACGTAAATCAGACCCACCATCTTCAAAAACAATAAAAATCAAAAATCAAAAAAAAAAAGAAAAAGAAAAAGAAAAGAAAAAGAAGAAAAAAAGAGAAGCTTGTTATTAAACTTTCTCAAGCTATATCAAAGAGCTAGAGACAGTAATAACATTCTCTCCCCGTGACATTCCATCTGGCTCCACTTAAGAAGTATATAAAGTTCACAGATATTTCAGACATGTATTTTTGAACAAATGCTTGAAGACACAATTCAAGTCCTCTCTGATGGTGTACATTCCTCCTGTACAGTAAATATGCCAAAGGCCTCAAGTGGTTGCTCCTTGCTTTACTGACATTCCCAAATTACATATATTACCACATATATACAGGCACATAGGCAATTAAAGACTGCAGCATCAACCCCTCCAGGAACAGCAATAACTGTTCAGAATGTTTATATTAATATTAACTGGCATGTACTTTCTCTTTAAACACTGACTTTTTTATTCTTGGCCTGTGATGTGAGGCATTAGTAATTTAGCAATTAATCATTATGATAAAGGTAATTTATTAGTCAGTCATCATGAAAAATTAAAACAGGCTTGTCAACTTACAATTAATATTTTGAATTTTAGATTTTTTGCTATTTCCCAACTGACTAGAAATATAAAACATGAAACAGATTAGTTGATGATTGCTCTATTTCATTTTGATTGGGTAAGACTAAGTGATAAGATTGAAGTCCTTGCTACTGAGAATCCCACCAGTACAGAAGCATTAGGATGAAAAAAGATTTTCACTCACTGGGTGGTCTGTTCGCTGCCAAGTTTTTGAAGTGGCTGCCTTTTATCACTTCTGCTGATAATCTTCCAGTTGTAGCATTATAGAGGAGGCCAATGAGGATTTCTGGAGCTGATCCATGTACCAGAGACTGACAAGAGGAGGTACTTTCACTGCAGGACACTTCTGACATGCTCATTTGAGAGTCACAACCCTATGAAAGAGATTAAAAGTTCTGTGTGTCTTATGGAACGATATTACTGGGAAGTCAATTTTTAGAATAATGCATAGAAAATTCTGAAAGCAACTTAGTCACAATAACAAGTTCCATTCAATCACCCAATATGAAATGTACATTCTTAATATATGCTTAATTTGCACATGTTAGAGGTAACAATAAAGCGGTCTGAAATTAAAACAATTATTAGGTGCTTCATGATTAAGGAGAAATAACAGCAGAAGATGAAGAACAGCCTTTATGATCCCTATTTACTTCAATTTCTGAGGTAAGACCTGTAACATAATTTGTCAGCATCCTGGAAAACATTAAACCTTGCATCTTTTACTTTCCAAAAAATGAAGAACACCAGTGGAACCTTGAAGATAATAAAATACAGAAAATTCTTATTCTCCTTTATAAAGGTTATTCTCTAGCCTGAGAATTTATGAGTAGCAAAGTAACAGGACACATGCAATTAGAAAAATGCACTCTGTCTAGCATAAATTAGCTAACAAGGAATTTAACTGGATCCAGGGACACAGAACTGCAATACTGCCATTGTCATGGGCGGGAAAGGAAGAATGCCATCCAAAGCTCAGGAAGCAATGCTTTAATTTCCACCCTGAAAGCTTCCAAAAAATTTAGATCTTTCATGCATTCTCACTACATCACATCTTTAATGGAAGTTTCTATTACTAATTTTTATCATTTTAACTCCTCATTATTTGCATTAAAAAAAGGGAAAAAATACACTTTCTTTATGCTGCCATAGTAATCACACCATAGTTGTTCCTATTCTAATTTGCACTAGCACATAAGAGTGGTACCACAGAAAACAAAAACTGGATGGCAAGTAGCCAATGGAATGACAATGTACTTGGTAACTGAGGAGAGACTTTTGAATTATCAGCACATCCCTTTATGATTCTCTCACAAAAAGTGTAAATTGGGTCCACAGATTTTTCAAATATGGCTTGACTCATTTGGGAACCTGGCATCACTCTTCCAAGGAGTCATGATGATATTGTGAAGTTGATTCTTCCAGATTCCAAATGTCTCTATCATTTCCAACAACAGCTGACATGGGCATAAGATCAGACCTAAAAGCTAAATAGCACAAATCATCATCAAGATAAATGTTAACTTTATAAGTTACTTTATAAGTAACTTCAGCTGACATATAAAGCCCACATGCATTATAGAATCTCAAATTATAGAAGACATGATACCTACAATAATATCCCTTTTACTGACATTTTAACTGGTTCTTTTCAAGAGAACATTTTGCAAAAGTCTAGCAGAAGTTTCAAGTAGCAATCCAGTTCCTCATTAATAAACATTAACTGTTGTTAGCAAATGCATTCTTACTACTGAAGAAGGACCTCAACAAATTTCTTTGACTTCCCTCTCCCAAGCTGCAGATTCAGAATTTTAAGTCTTTGGTTATTTCTCCAAAAGCTCTTTATTCAGTGGCAAGAATAAATTTCAAACTGCTTGCAAATTGTTAATTGCTGAAAATTAATTACAAGTGTACATTCATTCTCTGATTCTTGTCATTCATAGAACAGGAAACTTTTGATTCCTAACTTCAACAGAAGGAACAAAATAGAAAGTTTAAAAGAAAGATGACTTGATTCAGCAGTCACAGTATACACTGCACAATTGAAAGCCTCAGCCTGTCACAACTGCAGCTATTACTTAAGTTTTCTGGTCTTTTAAAATTGTAACACATTATCCCCATGGTGCTTGTACACCTTATAATTTTTTTGAGCCAGGAATTCTAGCACAGTCCACCTGACACTGTTCAAAGCTTAGGTTTCAAATTTGATTGAGATCATGCTGCAAGCCCACAAAAAAAAGAGATTTAACACAGAGAAGGCAGCTGGGTAACATTGTCTCCAAATCCTCCAAGGGCTTTGACATGCTGAGAGAAGGTGATGATAGTGCTTTTTCCTAACTGGGATTTATTTGTGCAGTTTACTGATGGCCTAAGAGGGACTTAGAAACCAGTTTATGACAGAGTCAAACTCAGTACAATGGGTATCAGAGTAAGGTTTAGCCTGTTAGAAACAGTGAATACGAAATGAGAGACTACTGAGTGGAAATGAATCCTGAAGTACCAAGAAAGAGAAGACAAGAAACATCTGTGGTAAAACAGAGAAGGAGGAAAACGACTGAAAAATTCAATGTGTGGTATTCCAAAGCTACAGAAGCATGGGCCAGAAATATCATCCCTTTACAGCAGAATCCTGAGTAGATAGGAGAAGAACAAGACTGCCTTTTTCAAGGCCAAGCAAAAGGATCTCACCAGCTGAAAGGTGGGGTGAGAAGACCAAGGCAATGCTTCAGAACTCTAAGTGGATGGAAATGCAACTAAATGACTGTACCTTAGAAGTGTTGCACAGAAAGAACGGGAAGATGTAAGCTTGATGAAAATCTGGAGAGCATCTAAATTAAATATTCTGCTACAATATTTTCTAAACCAAAATATTTTTGCAGGTTTGAGAAAAACACATGAATGTAGTTTAATCCTTATTTTATAATAAATGTATGGATCTCCTTCCTAAAAAACTGTGGGGACATGGACAAGACATTAAAATAAAGCAATCAAATTCACGAAATTAAAAATCTAAACAGCACTTTGTTTTCCCTTTCACTCTAAAAGAACCTCAATTTCAATTCATTTTGTTTCACGCTGACCCAAATGAATTAAAAAAATACTCTGCTTCTTAGTTATAAACTGGAAAATCCTAATACAAGAGAAAGTGAAATGTTAAGAAGGAAAACAAAGCAGATTAGAAGACAGAGTGATGTTACTGGGTAAAAAAAGATTAAACAACATTAACCAAAGTATACTTTCTGTGGCTATAACAAGGAAGAAAACAGAGGATTTAGGGACAAGTATGTAAAAGACCTGAGGAAAAGGGGAGAGCAAGATTACATTTTGTCAGTTTTCTTTTAAAAGAAAACAAAAATTTTATGAAGAAGAGAAGAAACCAGAATCAGGAATCGTAAGAGACAGCTGCGATCAACTGGGCTCAGATCAACAACTAAAGAAAGATTTTCCCTTGCAGGGCAAAGTTTAAAGCAGAGATACTGAGAACTTTTACATGTCTTTTCAAAAGCATTTTTTCCAGCACATTGTTCACATTGTGGAATTCCAGTGGAATTGTTTTAGGTAAATATTCCATGATAATGACATCTGTGGGTAAGTAACCTGGCTTTGTGCTAAGTCAGATGCTGCACTAGAAGTGGAAAGAACAGCTTTATTTAAGTTTCTGTTTAGAGGGTTTTTTTCTGTTTACACAAATCGGAATTCTAGAAAAGCACTAACAAACTCATCAAGAAAAGAGCCAGACAAGAAGTTACACTTTTACCTGCTAAAAATATAACCTTCAAAATCAAGTGTCAAATTGTAAAATATTAACATTGAAATTGCTCATTGGTGCAACATGAATATAGATGGAGCTCCAATGACACTACAGTGCAACCAGATGTTTTTCACCTCCATACAGGTCTGCATTCAATCTGTCTGCAAAGCTATCCATAGCCCACTTTGCTACTGCTGCTTCCCTGTGGGAAACTTAAGATTCAGACCAAAAGTTACTATTTGTTTGAAATCATGTCTTTGTAAGTTTATTTTCATAAAGCTTCCCTCTCATCCTCTATAAACACTGTGTGTAATTCAACAAGCAAGGAAAAGAAGGACTGAGGTTCCATAAGAGCAAAGGCTTTTCAAGGTCAGTGAAGCACCAGAAGAGCTTAGTGAGAACTGTCACAAAACCTTCTATGTGGATTTTTAAGAAATTAGATGAACAGTCAAAGTGTTACTGATCTGCCCACAGTGCAAGAAACTGTCTCTTGAGGTTGTCTTCAGGATATTAATACTAAATCCTGACCCTTTTTTGTCAATTTAACCATAAATACATTATTAACAGTAAGCACTGAAAAAAAAAAATCGTGAAGTCTATTCCAAATATTTGGTTCATATATCTGTCTTACTACAGTATATAAAAAGTGTTCAGCTTTTGAATTGTCTAACACAAAGCTGTGTGCAAAGGACCTAAACCTTTCCCATATACAGCACAGGATAATACTTTGTAAAAAAGTTAGTCTGATTTTATTTGATCAACACTTACAAGAATCGCTGTTTTCCACTGGATTGTAAAAGTAGTATGTGTCATATTCTACAAAAACTTAATTACTAATTCTCCAAACTATTGTCCTTGATGACTTCTTTGCATATATTATCTGGGGAAGAGACATTACTTCTTAATAAATGTATAATAAAAAGCATTCCCATTAGGCAGCCTTTGTATTTCCTATATTCACATTGTACAAAAGTTGGCAATCAAAAAAAGAACACTCTTTTTTCCCCCTCATACCACATGAGGGGACATGAACACATAGAATGCATGATGTCAGACTTCAGACCCTGAGAAGCATTTTCAGTAGTGTTTATCTCTCCCCTCTAACAACATAGAGAATCATCTATTTGCATCCATGGTAATGTATGTAAAACGTATTTATTTGCCTTCCTTCCCCACAATTCCATGGAAACACAGTATTTGTTACTTACATATTCATTTCCTACTGGTATTTTTCTATACCCTGAAGTTCTGCTTATAAATTCTGCTCTTAAGCCAACTGGAGTTAATGACAGGGAATAATGTGGCCATGCTCTCAAGGCAGTTAAAAGTTCATTTTCCTCAATGCACAGGTTACAATGTAATCTCTGTGGGCTTACGAAACAAGAGCATCTGACTCTTTTGGCTTTTCGAAATATACACAGAAGAGATGAAACCTTGCTGACAATCCTTCAGCAACAATAATCTGATTCACAGCATGTTACTTGTCTAAATGTCTCTCTCCAATTTTAAATGTTAATGTTATACCACTAATCTCAAAGAACTTTTCTGCACATTACTTTTTCTACTTCTAGATCAATACAACTGAGAGGTTAGGGAAGAAAATGTGAATTCTAGCAGGGAAAG